CACGGCGCCGAGGGCTAAGCCCTGGCGGTGATGCGCTGCTCCTGGAGAAAGCCTGGTCAGCCCAGGCGAGGGGAGGGCGGAGGAGGCAGAGGCGAGCCGGGCCACCTTCGCAGCGCCAGCCCGCTCACTGTCTCGGCTGGTGGAGCGTCGCAGCGCTTACCGTCCGCGGGTCTCTTTGTGTAAGGTTTCGCGGAACTGCAGACAGACATGACAGACCTGACCAAGGAGTTAAACCGCAGCCAGGGGATCCCCTTCCTGGAGTACAAGCACTTTGTCACCCGGACGTTCTTCCCCAAAGTAAGGCGATGCAGCGTCTCACGGGCACCTAACTGCTCCCAGGTCCTTCCTAACCAGTTCGGGGCTCTGCTTCCCCTCTGCTAAAGGGTTATTGCAGTGTAACAAAATCGTTCCACTGTTATGTATTTAGTTGTCACATATTTCAGCCTCAATTATCGTCAAAAGCAGAGCTGCGCCTCCTGGGGTGTGAGGTAAGGTCAGGCTTGCTCACACACGATGGGAGCCCCGTGGCAGCACCATCCCGGGGGTGGCTCACCCGTTCGATGCCGTTGGACCCCTTCATCTGAAAGCAGAGGGTGTCCAACGAGCAGAAGGTGCTGGGGACTCCCCCTTCTCCCCAGGGGCTCCGGGGTCACCCTGCTCCATTTGACGGAGGCTGAGGCTGAAGGGTGGCTGGATGGCGACTCTGCCGTCGGCGTTCGGGGAGAGGGGGAGTTGTATGCCACGCTGCCACCGAGCATCCCTAACTGCCCTGCCCGGCCTCAGGAACTCGTTGGATGTCCCTGTCTCCCTTCCCTCCCCGCTCCGCCAAAGGCTGGGCGCATGGTGCTCCCCTTGGGCGCCCAGTCCTGGTCTGTCTGCCCAGAGTCTTCCTCCGGGGCCGCAGCAGACGCGCCGGTGCCGTGATTCCCATCACCAGCTGCTCCGCCGTGTCGCTGCGCAGCGGCTGTATTTCACCCTTGAGGCAGTTGCATTTCGGTGGCGAGGAGTGAGAGGATGATTTATGACTGCAGAGTGCTTCGTTAGTAGTTATTACTCAGGTTTTTAAGTTACCCAGTCTCTGTGTATCCGCACAGTAGAGTTTTTAAGATTCAGGCTGCTATAGGAATGTTAGAGATTTAAACATTTTTCCCATCTGTTTCAGAAGTTACATATGTTGAAGCACCCAGAACTCCGCTATTTTGACTTAGCCTTCAGTAGAGCTTTCTCTCCTGGGATTTTTCTAGCTGTCACATTAGTCTATTTGCAGTCTCCCCCCCCTCCTGTCTGCACAGACGTCTGCCTCCCCCATTCCTGCGGTGTTTGCTCATTCACGAGGGTGTTGCAAAGTGTTTAAAGGCTTCGTAAACTGTACCAGTGCATTTCTTCATAACGGGTGGTCTTTGGTCCTGACGACCAAAGTGCATGGTCAGTGCATGGCAAATGAGAAGGTCCCCGGCCGGGTGCGGCCGCCCTCCCCTAACGCTGTGCTTGGTTGCAGTGTTCCTCACTCTACGAGGAGTGCTACGTCCTGCCGTCCCAGCAGCTCAGCTCCCAGGTGGGCTCCCAGGTCCAGGAAACTCATCCGCTCCTTGTGGGGGAATGGAAAGTGAGTAACCCACTAACAAAACAAACGCCCTTGCGTGGTTGCTACTGTACTCGCGTGCGCTGACAATGCCATGCGTTCTCTTGTGGTGCGTGGGGGATGCCTGATCACTCAAAACAATTAATATATACCAGCATCAGATCAGCTCTGGCTGGTTGGAGAAGGCAGCTCTGAGGATCTGCTCTCACGTGGAGGACCTCTGCCCTGAGATCCTCCCAAGGAGGGACTTGGTGAACGCTGTTGCTGTTGTCCCAGGGCTGGGTTTCATGTGGACAAGAAGCAGGAATTGAAGGATCAGAGTCACTTAGATTGGAAGGGAGATCTGCTTAACGCAGCTCCAACAGATGAGGTTGCTGAGGGCCTTGGCCAGCTGTGTCAAATATCTTCAAGGATGGAAATCCCACGGCCCCTCTGGGCGCCGTTCCAGAGTCTGGCCACCTTAAAGGCGGAAACTTCCTTCCTTGTGTTTAATCAGTGTCCCATGCTCCAGCTGGTGTCCCTCACCTCTTGTCCTAGCAGTGTGCCGGCAGAGAAGAGCCTGGCTCTGTCTGGCAGCTGAAGACCAGTAAGATCTCCCCTTACCACTTCTCCTTAAGGCTGACCAAACCCAGGCTCTCCACCGCTCCCCATGCACCCACTAACTCTTTCTGCAGTCCTCGGCTGCGCTTACTCCCGATGGCCAACCTGCGTCTCATAGCAGGGAGCCCTAGGCTGGCCGCGGTGCTGCAGGTACCTCGCAAGTGGTGAGCAGAGAGGAGCGGCCACTGCCACCGCTCCACTGCTCGAGCTCTTCGGCACAGCCCCGGACACAGTCGCGTCCTCACTGGGAAAACGCGCGGCCGACTTGTGCCAGGAAGCAGGAGTAAGGGGTCCTCAGCTCCGGACCTCTGCCTCCAGCAGGGACATCCTTGCGGTCAGGAAGGGTAAAAGCTGGAGGAAAACAACAAGCAGGGGGTTTCTCACTCTGCTTTCTAAATTTCTGTTTAGATCCCCGAGAGCTGCAGACCCAATATGGAAGAAGGAATCTCTCTGTTCTCTACCTTACTCAACAACAAGCACTTTCTCATTGTGTTTGTCCACGCTCTCGAGCAGCAGAAGGACTTTGCTGTTAGAGACAGGTATGAGCCTCAGGACCAAAGACCTGGCCGCTGGAGGAGGCTGATTTATTCCTAACTGTAAGCAATCCAGCCCATGTCTGAAGCCGTGCGTTTTGTTTGAAGGTTGGGTTATGCTTGCCTCCCACTTTTCTATTAGAAACGGATGGCCATAAGCCTCCGTTATCCTGAAGGGCCATAAGCCTCCGTCATCCTGAGGGGCAGCGAAAGGTGCGAGTGGCTCGCTCGTGAGCGTTTGTATCCCTGACACTTGCTTTGCCAGTAAGAGGGCGCAAGCTGACCTAAGGTCCAGCAGTGCTGGAAGAGGGTTTGAAGTTTTAACGCCATTGAGAAGGTTCATGAAGATTGTCTGAAATCCTGCCTTTGTGTTTTGGGGGGGGTGGGGGGTGGTTTATGCCAGTCGGTGGTTTAGCCTTGTTGGATTGGTGCTTGCGTCATGGACAATTCTGTGTTTCAGATGTAACCTGGCCTCCCTGCTTACTATTGCGCTGCATGGGAAACTGGAGTATTACACCAGCATCATGAAGGACCTCTTGGTGGATCTAATAGATGCTTCGGCTTCCAAAAACCCCAAGCTGATGCTGAGGAGAACGGAATCTGTGGTGGAGAAGATGCTCACCAACTGGATGTCCATCTGCATGTACAGCTATCTCCGAGTAAGTGAGCCGGGTCACTGCCGGTGTGGGTGCGAGGTCGGCGCCGTTTGCA